AGATAGCCCTCGTGTAGCTTTGCGCGAAATTCAAAAACAAACAAACAAAAACAAACAATTTCTTCCGCGTATGTCTGTAAATGTATTATGATATTACTGATGATTTACTTATAACAAAGATTGGTAAGAGGGTAATTATACCCCAGAAAAATATCACATTTGTTGTTTAGAAGTTCATTAGGTTTGATAATGTCCTTAATTTACGGTATAAATTCTTTCTGAGGAACTTCAGTGATACAAGTCCTTTGTTATTAAAAGTAATTTATTTTTTCTCGATACAACTTTGTAATACACTTAACAACTTTTATAATACACACTATAAATCCCAGTGATTCACACACTTTACTTATGGTGTCTACTCTTCGCTTGACTCAATTATCTCTATCTTCAATCTATCTGCATATCTATCTCTTCTTTTATTTGCCGAAAAAAGAGGGCGTCCCGAAGAAACTAGGAAAATCACGATCATTCGAGAAACTCCTCGCACACGCCACCAGCGCCAATGCGCCAGCAGCGTCACGTGATTTCCGCTGTCGTAACAGTATCAAAGATCGACACACATCATTAATCAACGTTCAGTATACTAATCCAAACATTAATACACAATTTTCCAGATGATGGATACGCAATGTAATATGTCCAAAGTCGTTACGCTATCAAGCCATTGACTTCAATAAAATATGCAACAAACCTAAATACCTTAAAGTAACTGATCGTATTTTAACGTTTGTTTATGGACATTACCCTTCATCCCTCTTCAGGATCCGAATCCTCATAAAGGTCAATAAAATCGGCGAAACCATTAATTATTCTTACACAATTATCATTCATCCTACAGTTAAGTTAATTACCGTGTCACTATCAATGATAGCTTAGAGCTGCTAATATGCCCGTTATAATAACCATATAAAACACAACATTCAACATGGGTTCTAGTGTCTTGTGTCGTATAAAAAATAACGATAAAATTAATAAATAAAGATGGAGAGAATTCACACTGATATAGCTTATAGTTTAGATTAGGTGACAATTTGACCAATAGTTGTACCTTTGAGAAAGATGGTCACTATAAGTTCAATCCTATTACTTGGTAACGAATACTCTACTGTCCAAGGATATTAATTTCGTCATCAGTAGAAGTTTCTACAAAACCCAACCTAATGTTTGGATAATGGAAAGAAAGTGAGATTTTAACAGTCTGCTTAAGTGTAGTTAATGACTGATTAACCCATTAGTCCTGTTGTTTATGATTTTGTTGATCAAAATATTACTAATTAAAAATTAGCCAAATTTGCATGACGGAAATTTTATTTACGGCTCTTGCAGATTCCGTAAATAATTTCTTTTAAAGATATACGCTTGTAACATGTCGGGATATAATTTTCTTGTAAATATATGTACTAGTACTGTGTGTCGGGGTATATCATTTCTTTTAAAGATATACGCTTGTAATATGTCGGGATATAATTTTCTTGTAAATATATGTACTAGTACTGTGTGTCGGGGTATATCATTTCTTTTAAAGATATACGCTTGTAATATGTCGGGATATAATTTTCTTGTAAATATATGCACTAGTACTGTGTGTAGGATATATCATTTTTTGTAAAAATATACACTAGTATTGTGTGTCGCGATATATCATTTCTTGTAAAAATATACACTGGTATTGTGTGTTGGGATATATCATTTCTTGTAAAGATACAGACTGATATTGTGTATCGGGATACAACATTTCTTTTAAAGGTGAATGCTAGAGTTATGTGTCGGAATATAACATTTTGTATTGTTTGTTTGTTTGTTGTTAAGCGCTAGACTACATAATGGGTTATCTGTGCTCTGCCCACCGCGTGTATCGAAATCCAATTTTTAACATTATATAACTTCAGACGTACCGCTGAGCTTTCGGAGAGCAACATTTTATAAAGATATACTCGGTGTATATATGAGAATATAACGTTTGTCTTATGTTGAAAAGTAACCAACCATTTTCTTTGAATATGTTTCTTAACTAATTGACCGTTAGATACAAGGATTAATGTGATATATACATATATTTATGTCATGTTCTTATCGAATTCTTAAGATAAGGTTATTTTCTACAAGTTTATAACGATATCTAACGAGTGCAACGCTCTAACTTCCTTCTTGTGTTTTAGACACCACCAGACTTGCATTTTATTTAGTTCAGATTTTGTTTTAAAATTTTGGCCGGGGAGAAAGAGTTCATTTGTTAAAATAGAAGTTTTTATACATACAATATTAATCACAATATATATATTTAAGTCACAAATTTAATAACCCACTGATACTTACACTAGAATCATGGAGGTCATCAATTCGGAGCTGAAAAAACAGGCCTTTAAGTAGCAAACATAATAATCCAGAGATATTTATACTAGAATCATGGAGATCATCAACTCGGAGCTGAAAAAAACAGGCCTTTAAGTAACAAACATAATAACCCACAGCTACTTACACTAGAATCGTGGAAGTCATCAACTCGGAGCTGAAAAAATAGGCCTGCGAAAAGAGCAGCTATGTTGGCGGTGTAAGAAGCTAAGAAGATAACACTGAAGCACCCCCAAAGATTGATGAGGACCTTGTTGGGCCAAGACTTCGGGGCTTTGAAGGCCACCAGGTGGCTGAAGAGAAGTGACCACATAACCCAAAGTGCAGATGCCAGGCTGAAATTTTTGGTCCGTTGTCGTCCCCAGGGATTGAGACCGAAAGGGCTCAGCCACTCATAGATGGCAGCAGCGAAAGCTGTGACGTTGAGACTAGCAAAGATGGCGACCCACAGATGCACACTGAAAGGTACTAGGAAAGCTGACAGCGGTACATCATGTAACTTGGAAGAGGCAAGACACGAAACTCCAGAATGAAAATAGGGGACGGAGAAGTCGATGACTTGATACCGCATGCTGGTGATGCTGAAGGAGGAGAAGGCTAAGTGCGCGGCACCGCTGATGAGGTCTGCTGTGATGCCATTCCAGGACTGACCTCCTCGGCTCGTACCAAACATGCCGTCAGCTACTAAATATATGTCGTAGTCGAAATCTAGGTCACGCGCTAAGTCTGTCAGGAGGTCCATGGTAATCCCAGAACAGCAGGTGACGTTGTAGGTCTCACCTTCAGCTTTACCTTGTGCATAATCCGCAAAGATAGTTATTAACTCGTCTTTACGATTAGTTTGTACCTGAAGACAAGGTATGCCCATTAAGCAGCTTCCATTGCTAACCCTAGTGGATGTTTGAACAAATGGTGGATTGTAAGATGTCGCCACTCGGAAGCGCTGTCTACCAGTTGGCCAAGGTCCCATTTTTCCTGCTCCGACCCAAAGAACGGTGTCTAGCCGGACAGATGAGCCGCTTACGTTTCCTACAACCTGCCAGTGAAGAAAGCCGTCGCTAGATGGCGCCAGGTTCAGAATTTCAAACACTGTTGAAAACCCGTAACGTCTACTTTGATGAGTTGAGTAGTCGAAATGATTGCTGTGATTTCTGTTGTTCATGACATTTTTCAACGAACTAGAAAACAGGGTAAAATAAATCAAACAGTTGTACACAGTAATAAAGTCAACATATGAAATCAGTTTAAATTTGAACTATTATTCTATTAAAATTTAGAACAATAACTACCTCTGGTCTCAGAGTAATAGATCCAAAGAAACAGGTGTTTTGGAATATGATAACAAATAATTCACACTTTGTTTGGAGTTAACTTACGTGCTCAGAGTTTCTATTTCCAAATGTTTTTTTATGACCAAGATGTAAGAAAATATTTGGATATTATTTATGAACTGAATAAGCACGGAATCCCAACGTCACATGAATGGTTAGAAGTTAAACCAAAGCTTTAACAGGTCGAGTCAGGTTGAGATATTAAAACATGAATCTTATAATATTTTAATCTTTTGAAATAAATTCTAAGTACTTATATAATTTATCAACCATAACAAGGTTGGGAAATAAGAACACGAATCGTATAATATTTCAATCTTCTGTAGCAAATTCTAAGTATTTATTTAGTTTAACATGGTTGAGATATAAGAACATGAATCGCATAATATTTTAATCCTCTGTAATACATTCTAAGTATTTATTTAGTTTAACATGGTTGAGATATAAGAACATGAATCGCATAATATTTTAATCCTCTGTAATACATTCTAAGTACTTATGTGGTTTATCAACCATAACAAGTGCAGGGAGTGAGTGTGCTGTTGTCTCGAGTAGTATCTAATATATCACATTTGTTTTAACTAGTTTTAGATGACTATTTACAACTTTCTAATTTATGGCGCTTTTATTTCAAAGATAATCGTTCATTATTTCAGCATGGCTAGTGAGTACTTTTGTAAACAAAAATTACCAATGGCCTTTTCATCACAATCGCACTCGCACAAATACCTATCTTTACGTTTATTAAATTAATTATTTGATAGTAGTTAGTTTCAATCCTTTCGATTAATTTATAGAATCAAATATTCTAGTAAACGAAGTAAGAGATGAACAAAGCTACACGAGGGCTACCTGTGCTAGCCGTCCCTACTTTAGCACCACCCACAGCCAACTCTTGGGCTACTCTTTTACCAACGAACAGTGGGATTTACCGTCACATTATAACACCCCCACGGCGAGCATGCTTGGTGGTACGGGGGATTCGAATCCGCGACCCTCAGATTGCGAGTCGAGCGTCCTAACCACTTGGCCATACTGGACCTGAACAAAGATTTCACAGACTTTATAAAACCCAGATTTCCATTTTTGATGTACAATAAACGGTATATCAGGCAAAATGAAATTGGCGATCAACTTCATTGGTGGAAAAAAAAATCATGTAAATAGTATTTTTAGCAAAATACCAATCAACAAGAAGCAAAACTCTGAATGTAAATTTTTCTTCTAATCTTACACTTGCAAGTAAAATTTACAGTTACGCTCACAGAAGAAATACTTATCTTGGTGTAGCCAGAAAACGTTTCGTTGTCAAACGCTTTTCAGTGAAACCTTTCTGGTTACGTTGAAATGAAATTTTTTTAGCGGATTATCGTGATTATTACTGGTAGATTAATCGGGCTTCACCTACCTATACCAGCTTATTTGGAACCAATGTTTTGATTTGCTGGCTCACATCTTCATGAGTTGAACCTTCTACTGTGAACACTTAAAACGAAACCTTATTCTAGCGATATTTTTATGTTTTCATCGCGAAAGCAAAATGCATGAATAATATAGTATTTTTAATACGTTTGCAAATTTTCTTATTTGAAAATTTTAGTGCTTCAGTATCAACTCAAACTCTTCACCTCCCCCCTCAGTGGCTTAGCGGTAAGTCTGCAGGCTTACGACAATAAAAATCGGGTTTCGATACCCGTGGTGGGCAGAGCACAGGTAGCCCATTGTGTATTGTTGTGCCTTAACAACAATCAAACAATCTTTTCAACAGCAAACCGCTAGAAAGAACTATGGAGTTAACTTCAATATAAGATGTGGTCGTCAAAGAACTATGGAGTTAACTTCAATATAAGATGTGGTCGTCTAAGAACTATGGAGTTAACTTCAATATAAGATGTGGTCGTCAAAGAACTATGGAGTTAACTTCAATATAAGATGTGGTCGTCAAAGAACTATGGAGTTAACTTCAATATAAGATGTGGTCGTCTAAGAACTATGGAGTTAACTTCAATATAAGATGTGGTCGTCAAAGAACTATGGAGTTAACTTCAATATAAGATGTGGTCGTCTAAGAACTATGGAGTTAACTTCAATATAAGATGTGGTCGTCTAAGAACTATGGAGTTAACTTCAATATAAGATGTGGTCGTCTAAGATCGAGAAAACCAAAATCTCAGTTTTTAATCTTAATAGCCAATTTCCAGTGATCTCTAACGTAAGTTATGAATTCAGAATAGCATAGAAAAGTAATTATAAATTTGAGCATTTTTCTTAACAATTATGTTGGCATTCATTACATACTGACAATACTATATTTTCCTGCTTCAAAAAACAGAATGGGTCAGGCCTAATAGTTTAACATGTTCGGACTGTTAAACCAACGGTTCATGGTTCGTGGACTTGCCACCGCATAAGTGCGCCAAGAACTTTAAGGTCGTCGGTACAGTATAAGAATAATAGGCCATCAGACAACAGTGAAATAAGAGCTGGTAGGGGATGATCTTTCCTCATGTAGTATAACTTTAAGTGTAAATTCTGAAATAATCAGATGAAACAGCAAATCTGAATGATATCCAGCTCGTATTTAAAAAAATGTTTCTCAAGTAACTACCAGTGTTTCTAATCGAACAGAAACTATTCAGTCATCTCGATGCCAACATCTGTAACGGTTACACTAGCGTGGCGTAGCTTAATTATTCAATAATGATGGGAGAGCTTCGTTCGTCTAAAAAATCCTAAAATAATATTTGTAGAAATATTCACCGAGATTCCTTTAGCTCAGTACATTACTGTTGCATCTATATATATATATAATGTATTTTAAGTTCTTCTAGGCCCAACTGTTTCATTTGTCTCTTCCAAAAGTTTTGTTCTCTAAATGGTTAATAGATGACGCAAAGTGTCAGACCTACAAGACAAGGCTTAGAAGAAATGTATGAGCTAAATTGTTGCATTACACATTTCAAATAACGTCGATAGATATCATTGTCCATTATTAATTAATTTTCAGTTTTTACAGCGGTTTGTAGTTAAAGACTTACTGACAAATATTTATCGATTTTTAAATTATTTTATTGCAAATTTTATTAGAAAGAGTGCAGCTGAAACGTCAAGACAAATTATTATTCGATCAATTGATAGTTTGTCTTTCAAAAACTAATTAAATAGTTTAATAATGGAAGTATTTCATTTCTGTAAGCATAAAATGTACCATGTATGTTATTATTCAGAAAACTCTCGTCTTTTACAAACAAATTATTACAACAGCATGATTCCTTCAACTTTTGAGCATATGATGCAGAATTCAAATTTGCACCTTCTGCAGTGACCGAGCCCCAAATGTTAGTGTTATACGCTCTCAAATTTATCGTTGAGCCATCGGGGGGGGGGGGGTTAAACTGATAACAAATAAAATGTCCAGCAACAAATATTTGATTTATTAATCATTTTCTTTATAAGCTTTCACGTACAAGAATATTAAATGGTGAGAGATGAAGCAACTGAGAAATGTAATTTTTCAGGTTTTTGTTTCATTTTATGTTGTATTAAAACTTTAAAGATCAAAACTAGAGGAAAAGAGCTCATACGTTTAAAGAATACCCGGCAGATCCCTATGTTCTAAGAACGAAATAAAACATGTTAATCTTAATCGCTGTAGTTACACTTCACAACGCACGAAAATCTGTTCTGCGCAAGACAGTACGTTCATTCAAGCTTAACAAGCAGCGTCTACTATCGTTCAAAATTCTACCAAATCCTTCAATTTGTATTTTGTGTTTCACTCCAAGTAACTTCTAAATTTCAAGCATGAAGACCAAGAAAGTGTCGATTAACTGGAATATTGCTTGATACCACGATTTTTATTTCAGTGAAATTTTGTTTTCAAAATAGAAACATATCATGAATTAGAACAAATATCGCCTCTTTAAAATTATAAGCCCCCAGAGGCACAGCGTATGTCTGCGGACTTTCAACACTAAAAACCGGGTTTCGATACCCGTGGTGGGCAGAGCACAGATAGCCCATTGTGTAGCTTTGTGCTTAACTTGAAACAAACAAACCTTAAAATTATAGATAAAATTAAAAAAGTAAAATACAGCAGTAATAAAGAGAGAGAGATTTGATTTCTACGCCCCATGGAATCAAATTCATGTTATACTTACTAAGTTTGTTTGTTGGCACAGAATGAATAAATGTCTAGCTTACAAATTAGAAAAAAAAATGATATTTTCAAAAGTGAATGTTTACTCATAGTTAGATCTCACAATCTCATTTTATGAACGGTATGAGCGGTAATCATTTAATTGGGAATATACATCCGCACATGATTTATTTTACGCTCTGCTGCCACGTGGATTAAAAACTTGGTTAAAACCAAATGAATCTTATAACTATTATAACGTAATTGTAGCCAACATCGCTGGAAGATTACGCAAAGCAAGTATGATAGAACTATTATAACGTAATTGTAGCCAACATCGCTGGAAGATTACGCAAAGCGAGTATGATAGAACTATTATAACGTAATTGTAGCCAACATCGCTGGAAGATTACGCAAAGCAAGTATGATAGAACTATTATAACGTAATTGTAGCCAACATCGCTGGAAGATTACGCAAAGCGAGTATGATATAATATGAATTATTATAAAACCAGGCATTGATTAACAGTGAGGAAACGAAATGTTACTAAAACGCTTTTCAAATAAATTAGAATAGTTAGCTTAAACGCTTTATTAAGTATGATCCAGTAATTGATTCATACTTTTCATACCATTTCTCTGCCAGGTTAAAAGAAACAAAAGAAGAGATACAACTAAAGTCAAATTTCTCGTTATGTTCACTTGAAAC